CTGTGTGTATGCTTCTTAGATGAACAACTTTGTAATAATCAAATGGATTATGATTGTTCAAGACAGCAGGGAACTGGCAATCAATGAAGAGTGAAATTATAAATGAACAAAAAGAAACACTAAAGAATTGTAATTAAAAGAAAACTGTAAAGAGAAAAATATACATAGAAAGTATATATTAATGAATACATATATATATTAATACTGTTGCAGTTGCATCAATTTATGTCTGCTTGTGCTTACATACATATGTACAGATTATATATATATACATATATATATATATAAAAATACATACACATCTATATATATATATATATATATATATATAGACCTAGGCAAATATACATATGAATAAATGTATGCATGTACATTATATACATGTGTACTTGTACAAAGAGCTTCAAATGAATCTTCTGGTGTTAATTAAAATAGAAGCAAGTAGTTCATCAAATGCTTTCTCATCAAGAATAATGACTTGAGGGACAACATAATATTTCTTTCTTTTCTTTCTCCTTTCACAGAAACAAACATGTTTTTTATTACTTGAAAGCTAGAAGCATTTTTCCTAAGGGAGCTGAATCCAGAACTTGATATCTTAGTTTTATGCACTGTTCCACATGAATATTTAGTTACAATAATTAGTATCAGTATTACTACAATTAATAAAATCTGTATTAATCTCAGTATTAAATTGATTGCTTATTGATGAAATATTACTAAATATTATACATATTATTAAAATCTATGCATATGCTTTGTTTGTTACTTAAACTTGCTTTTTGGAATCTTATATGTTTTGCCAATTATTTCTTTATAAAAGAAAAATGTATATTTCAAGAAAAATCACTTTGTAAGAGAAAATTATATATTCTTTTTAATCATTTCACCCCAAGCAAAGCAATAAAGCCACTAAGACACAGGGGATTACAGAGTGTGAAAGAAATAAGAAACAGAAAAAAATCCTTCTTTAAATAATAAACATATAAGCAAAGAAGAACACCAATTCAACAGGATTTTGATCCTAGCTAAAGGCAACTGGTGAGTGAGAGATATCAAAAACTAAAAGCAAAACTATTGACATTAATTATTAGGTAAATTTCAGATTTTCTAGAAATTATTAGTTTGATCTTCATAAATTTAACATAAGAAAAAAGAATTGTCAAAAATATACCCATGATAATTTTTATATAAACAATAATATGAATCAAATGAATGCGCAGGTAGTGTAATGGATATTAGTGCCAAAAGGGGGATTTGTGATAGGAATTCAAAATCTGACCTTCTTGCTGCATTTACTTTCACATGAAAGTCTGTGGAAAAGGTGTAAATCAGTCTATATTCATTGAAGCTATGAGTTAAATGCCAGAGTAGAGTAGGCTCTCTAGCCTTGGATAACAGACATCAAAAGGAAACTTTGAATTCTAAACTTTGGAAATGCAACAGAAATCCACTCCACTATCTTTTCAAAGAAAACATAGCAATTCACAGATAATAAAGAAAAGAAGAGAGGCATGATCATGGCAAAAAACATCATAAAGTTTACTTTATGATGTTTTACTAGTAATGTAATAATAATATTAATGAAATTGAGAAAAGGAAAATTTTTAAATTCTTATTACTAAATATTACAAGGAATAAAATTTTATTTCTACTAAATTGATGAGCTAAGAACACATTCCTAGCAATGATATTTTGTTCACTTTGTGTATTAATTTTAAAATTTACACTGAAATTCATGAAGACACACACACACACACATATATATATATATATATATATATATATATGAAAGGTAGAAAAAATGAAGGCAAAGGAATAAGGAGAGAATATAAGGAGACAAGGAAATTATGAAAAGAAATAATAACCATAATATTTTACACATGTACGCATGCACATATGTACAGGTGTATACACACACAAAAAAAAAAACAACCTAACACCAATAAAAAGCACATCAATTATTTTTTTAACTTAATAGAAAAATAACAAAAATGAGAAAATCGGCAAACAATTGCTAATACTTCCTGATGAGTGGACCAAATGATTGTGCAAAGGTTCATCTATGAAACCTGGAGTCAAAGTGCTGAATATAACTTCTATCAGTGAAGTGACAAATCCTTTATATTTGTATTAATTATATATATATATATATATATATATATATATATATATATATATATATTGCTGCCTAAATACACAGAATATATATATATATATATGTAATGTACATAATTACCAAAAGACACTTTAAAATAATCTAGGACTGTATTAGAGTAATGTTTGAAAATATATTTCATATTTTACAAATCATTAGAATTATATGTAAATAAATAAGTACATCAATACATCTGTAGCTTAATGATAAAAAAAACATTTGTTTTATGAAACAAATATTTATTTTTCAGTATAATCCCCATCATTGTCAATGTAATTAGTTTAAGATGAATATTAAGCACTCTGATCAAATATTATATCATAAAAATTTCAGATAAAACTCTAGTTAATAACTATGAGGCAATCTGTGGACATCTTATTCTGTTCTCTTGTTTGTATATTGGTAAATTTTATTCAAGTTCAATTTTTGTTCATATATGGTTAGCATGAAAAATCTATTTATGCAAACTTAGAAAGCATTTTTCAAAAATATTTCTGACAGGCAGCACCTCTCTTATTGCATTTGGAAAATAAGAGACAAGGGTAATCCCTGATGCCTGATCATCTCAGTTAAGAAGAACCAAAAGAGGTTAAAAAGTTTTTATACTAATTCAATGTATGTATCAGATTCCTACTTTAAATACAGCTGTATGTTATATTCTTTTTGAGTGGGCATGTAGATTGATTTGTAACCTTGTGTGATCATTCATAGTTGGGAGTGATTTCAAGTATAAAATATTCAGTTTTATCCTTACATTTTTTCTTTAATCGTTTAACCCAAAGTAAGATGGAAATGCTAATAGTACACAGGGGGTTGCAAGGAGTGAAAGTGAGAGAAAAGACTGCATATAGGGAGGACTGAGAAAAGTACAAAAGATGAGTTGGATTCAAGTAGTTAGATGGCAATTAACATTGTATTTAAATTTTTTTTTAAGTTACCAGGTAAGCAAGTAAATGGAATGGAAGTACCACAGGTGGTGAGTGTGAGAAAAGAAACTGTTGGAGTAAAAGTGTCAGTTGCATTTAGCTATTTCAAAAGTAAATGGGTGGAACCTTGATGATAATCTAGCAGCATGCTTAAATTCATGTAGTCGGAACACCAAAGTAAAAAGCTTGTCAGAGCAGTTGCTATGATAATATTTCTAGAAAATACAGAGAATGTTGGTGAGAAAGTGAGTGAAGTTAAGATGCCAAGTCAGAATCAATTACATTATAAATCCTTTGGATTTTGTCAAGAACTTTGAGATGAACTGCAGGAGCACCAGACCAGATATGGCAACAGTATTCAATGCATGGATGAATTTATATGCAGTAACTTTCCTCGTGTACTAAGGGGACAAACATCAGGGCCAATTTATGAGGCACTCCATTAGAGAACTGCCAAGGAAAACTGAGCAATGGTTTAATAATTCAATATGCATGTGAAGTTCACACTTTAAACTTGGCCTTTTAGTAGACATACAAATGGACACTGAATTTTATAATCTACCCTAACCATTTGTGCTTCTTTGGATTCATCCAAAGTATTATATACTCATTTCTTATGACCATCTCCCTAGGAAGTACATCAACTATTTCACTAACAGAAGGAGAGTCTAGATTAATTCTTGATGTCTGAGGTGTTCTAGTCAATGGCAAGAGAAATTTTTTATCAATTGTTTGTATGCATTCTGCCTGCTGATAATTTCATAAACACCCAATCATTAACACTGTTAGTAGAGTGCAGTTTTATCTGCAGAGCTTTGGGTTACTTGTTCAACCTGTTTCCCTGTGCAACCCTTTTTTTTTAAATCTTTAATAGGAATAAGAAATATTGGTGAAAGGAGGAAACTCGTCTATCTTTCCTAAAAAGATGACACTAAGGGAATAATATAAACTGGTAGTTAAATCTTTAGGTGATTGTTTTATACTCATCTAATAAAAATCAAGAAATGTTTAATTTTGTGTGGAATGGAAAAATAATGCTTTCAATTGGCATATCACCTGAGAATAGGGTTCATTCAACCGGACAATGAAATAGGGAAAAAATAAGGGAAAAACATTATGACTTTGGTCTGCTACGTCTACCTTAAAAAATATATGGTTCTTGAAAATCTGTGGTTGCATTAAACCTAGATCAGCCAATCCAATTTTGGAACTGGCATTTTGCCACTTTGCACAGAGGTTTTAAAGAAAACACTCTTTTGTTAATGGTCGAAATTTTTTTTTTTTAAATATTTCTCTTATTCCCTGCAGTATACATTTTTTTAGGGTAGCAGGGTAACCTGGTCATTTTTTTAACAGAAATTTATTTTCATTATTCAATTATTATCAGTTTACAAATGTTCATATTAATTTTGTAAAAATTCTTATAAATGCATTTGTTAATTCATTAATTTTGAAGACACAGTCTGCCAGATTACTTGTTATTAGATAAAACATTGTCAACCATTATTATTAGCGTTAACTCATATTTAATTTCACCTAAAATTTCACATTGTTTCTTTACTCAGTCCACCTAACTTCAGCAGTGAATTGACAGCACAAAAGTGGAATAAAGCTAAATTGAAAGACATGTTGAAACTCCATAGAAGAACCTATCAATTAACAGCAGTATGGCTTCTATTCATAATTGTTTAACAATTCCTTGCATAAACAATATTATGGACATAAAAGTACCAATTCTAATACTGAACATGCACTTTTGTGAAAAAGAAGAAATTTTGATAAAGGTGATATTTTAAAAACCTTTTTCTTTTCAGCAAAATAAAAAGACTGACTAATAAATCTAAAAAATGTCAAAATTATTTGTCGTGTAAGGTTCAAGTAATTACGCCTCATTTAATTCATAAGCAGATAGCAGATATTGAAACACTGGTTCTCATCTGATTACTGAAATTAAGCAACATTGAGCCAGATCAATACCTAGCTAGGTGACTTCTTGGGAATACCAAGTGCTGTAAGCTTGGATGTGCAGGGGATGTGATGGATAACTTGGAATGAGAGCTGAGTTTGAATTCCTGTTGAGTTTTATTATGTTCACTTAAACACAAATACTCTTGGGAAAGGTATGAATCACCTCTTCTATCCCCAGCTATGGGTTAAATAGTAGGATGGACACTAATGTGGGAATTTTGCCAAGTCAATCATGAATAAAAAATGAGATATTAAAAATGCATGTAGCCATGAAATATCAGAAAAAGAAATAAAAATATTTTTAAGTTGTATCAAGAAAAATAATATTCAAGAATCATAGAAATAGTTTCTGGTATCTTTCTATCCAAAGAATATGAATTTTAGATTTGTTATTTTATTCATTAACCAAAACTCATTTTTCCAATGAAAGTCTTCTTTTGATTTATTATCTGTCATAAAGAGGATAAAAACTAGTGTTATATAAGCATAACGTTCTGTGTATGTGTATGTATATATATATATATATATATATATATATATATATATATATATATGTATATATATATATATATATATATATATATATATATATATATATATATATATATATATATCTCCTTATTGTAGCCTCTTTGCTACTCCATTCATGTGATTGAGAGCAGACATTATATATCTTTATGACCTTGACCATTTCTTCATTGTGTTGCCGCACTCCCTTCAATTTAATATAGTAAGTCTATTTAGATTCATAATAAACCTAATGTCTTTTTAGTTGTTTCAGTATTATGAACTTAGCTGGAATGTTTTCAGGAACATTTTTGTACTTTTTGTACTTCACAACAACTTTGGATTTATTTCCTTTTGATTTTGAGTGCAATGGCAAGCCCAGTTTATGTTATTATACACCCTTCTCATATACATACGTGGTTTTTTTCCCTGCATGAGGAGGGAGAAGGCGTAGGAGGAGGAAATGATAACAGAAGTCTGTACCGTCGTTCAGGATAAGTCAACACAGGTTCTGTATTAAGTTACAGTCCTCTTTTTTTTGTCTGCCAACTGGACACTAGTTGGGCTTTGCTATCCATTCTTACTTCAAGTGCTCTTGACCTTTATTACTTCTGTCTACCACAGACCCATACTTCTGGCATTCCTGACCTTTCTTACTTCCAGTATACCTGATCTTATTTACTTCTGGCTACCTCAAATCCTTTCTTCTGGCATTCCTAGCATTTATTATTTCTGGCTATTTCTGAGATCCTTACTTTCAGCAATCCTGACCTAAACTACCTGGACACATTGATGCAACATTGGCTAATATTTTACTGCCATTTCATCAGGGTTTTCATCAATGGACTTAACCAGGAACCATGCAATGCCAGCACTCTCTACTTCCGGCATCTCTTTCTCTACCTAACTCACCTGGTTGATCAGTGTTAATGGACCTGCTTACAAAAGCCCTCAACTTCTGGCTACAAATTGGTCCCTACTCCAGCATCTGTATCTCAACCTAACTCACGTGGTTCATTGACATTAAGGGACCTGCTTACAACAGCCATGAATTTCCAGCTACACTAGGTCCCTGCTTTTGACTTTCCTGTCAACCTAACCCACAATTCAAATAAACTATTCAGTTAAAATACTACAGAAAGTTCACCATTGGACTTAACCAGCAACTATGCAACACCAGCCCCAGACATTTAAAGTGAATTTTCTTTTCCTTGACTATATCGTCCAGACTTCAAATAAATTACTCTGTACACTTTGGTTAAAAAACTATGGAAGGTTCATCATTGGACTTAATCAGCAACTTTTTATAATGAACTGAACTTTCAAACTGTGGACTCACATATCAACTTAACTTACATGGGCTCTACTTATAACATTTAGTCACATCCATATTATCTAGATCTTCTAGCCGGGCAGTATCCTTTCATTTATTCACCTCTGTCTCCATTACTTGATTCATGTTCCTTTAATCCAAGCACATACTTTATATACAATGTAAATAGATTTTGTATTAATTTTAAGTTTGTCATTTGTTGTTTTCTTGTTGATAAGTCAGATTTCACATCTTTAATTTATAAATGTTAGCACGCCTCATGTGACTATCCTTATTTGGAGTACACAGGCCATATCATATTGTGCCCCTCCCTAGAAGGTTTTGCTACATATAAAAAGAAAAAAAAAACATTACTTACCTGAGTTAATCTAAGACCAATTTTGTTTTATGATCTCACGTATTCCCACCAAAAGTAATTTCATTAAATACTTACCTGAAAATAAAAAAAAAACGTTTAGTTATGTTTGTATTAATTAAAATATTTTGTGAATATTGTTTTAAAGCAACATCGCCCAATGCAAGGCAATAAAGCCACCAAGATACAAGGGGTTACAGGATGTAGAAGAATTATGCACAGAAACATTAATGAGCAGGAAGAGGAAAGAATAATCAGAAAGTAAGTAATTGGTAACTGACACTACATTTAAATGGTTGCAGATTAAAGTTGCATTTTAGATAGGAAATTATAACATCAGTTATGAAATAAATTTACTGGTTAATTTTAAAACATAATAATTTCAAAAAGTCAAAACAGCTTTATCTTTTTTTTTTTTTTACATCAATGTTCACCCAATGCAAGGCTCAAGCCAAGAGCCACTCAAGGTAGAGGGTTACTTTGTAGTGTTGTATGAGAGTAAGGAAAGGTAACAATTGAAATTCATGAGTTTATATAGGAAAGATAATGGTTAACCCTAGTCTTAAGGAAGTCAAGACTGTAGTGGTTGGGGAAATATTCTGCTGGGAGTCTATTCCACAAAGTAGTAATTCTTGGGATGAAACTGTCTGAATGAAACTTACTTCTCATTAATGGAATATGAAAGGAATGAGGAGGATCCATCCTTGTGTACATGGCATGGCGGGAACCAATTTTAAAGGTCAGGAGTGGTGAACCAAGGAATGTAACTCATCAGAACACATGCCATGGAAATAGAAATAGTGAGAGGCTGGCAACATTGCATTTGTGGGAAAGGGGTTGCAGAGAGGAAAATATTCCATTACCCACAAGTCCATGTAAACACTTTTGAACTCTGTTTTTCACACATTATATTCTGGTCAAATTTGAGAAGGACAAAAGAAAACGGATACTAAGAATGCTCTTAAATATTATGCTGAAAGTGATACATTATTAACTTGGATCATCTGATGAACTCTGCCTCCCAAATGTAATATCAATTCTTCTATAAGATTTATCAGCTTGCTATCCCATACGGCAACAAATTCTGAACAATTTCATCACAGATGAAGAGGATACTTGAGTCAACAGAGATGTGGTTCAACAGAAGAATGCTGAGAATACCATGTAGGGCACATTTAAGTTTCAAGGAAAATCAAAACAATAAAAGACCACATGTATTTCGAATCAGAGAAAGGCAGTTGATATTTCTGGGAAGTGATGTGCACAGGTTTGGTGATGCCTGGGATCAACTCTTTGTGTTTATACCCCTCAAACTAAAGTAGGTGGGATGCCTACTCTGGTTTTGCTCATCAAAAGATAGATCCACATTCACACCAGCTCATGGGACTGCAGGGCACTTGTGCGACAAAGTTAACACAGACACAAATTTCAAAACCTAAATTTTTATTTTACTTTTTGATTGAATGATCTCTCAATATGGATGCCTGGGGCTATCATACCTTTTCCCTTACCTTCTGCATGCTACTATTTCTGGGACATATAATGAGGAAAGTGGGTTTGGAGAATTTGATACTCACAAAACATATTAGTTAAGTATATGCAGAGAGAAACAGCAGTAATCTACCTAAGAAGTTTGTGTAAATGGATAGCAGAATAGTAACTGGTAGGAATAGTAAGGAGACAAGCATTATTTAGAGCTACAAAAGATAGGAAGTTGTGGAGAGCTATGATTACCCACATTATGAAGGGGACACAGCAGATGAAAGATAAAGACCAGCTTTATGTTTTCATGTCCTGAGAAGACATGGCACATACAAGGATAAGAATAATAGTATGCTGAGATGTTTAATTTTAATATACAGGGTGCTACCACAAAATTTGCACTATTTTTATAATTTGATCAGTCTGTTCATCTTACAGTTTTCCTATGATTTCCCAGACTTTTGACACATCTCTCAAAATCAGTTGACCAAGATAGAAATTTAATACCAATTTTTCTTTCTTTGTAAAATCATGTTGCACCAAAGTTTTTGGATATCATCTTTTATTTTGAACATCAGGAACTAAAGATATGACTAATATTTTTATTTTAATTGTTCATTTTATATTATTAGTAGCTTTTATTTTTTCTTTATTTCTACAAAACTAATGAAAGATGTCATAAAAATATTTGCATTGTTAATATTCAGAATATTTTGCACAATGCATGTAAATTATAGTACACTGTATGTCGTTTTTACAATATGGCAAGTTTATGAATTTTACCTGATTTTGTGAATTTCACATTTATAGGCAGTTTTACTCTTAGAAACATTTTTGCAATTAGACATTATAATTACAGAACATGCATAAAGCTTGCAAAAACAAAGTTTTTAAACAAACTGAACAAAGTGTTATTGTAACACAAACAAAGTTATAAAGATGAAACTAATGTGAAATATATGCATCATGTTCTGAAGTTAGCTTTAGAAGTTGTTCATCAACTGATTTTACAAAAAACAGTGTCCAGATTCCAGAATAGCAGTCCAAAGTTCATCTTTGCTGGTAAATTGCCATCCGCCAGTATAAACATTTGTCTTCAGAATGTTCCACAAGTTTTCAGTCTGGTTAGGGCTGGGTAAAGAAGATGGCCGTTTTACCAAATGAGCATTTTTGAAACTCATTTTATTCAGATATTCATTAATTTTCTTTGACAAATGTGATGAATCATTGTTGTGCATAAAAATTGTATTTCTGAAGGCATTTGGCTTCTTTTTGAATCATGGCTTTACACATGCCTTCAAAATAATTAATGTATGTATGAGCTGTCATATTAACACCATCTGGAACTGGACCCACCACTTCATCATTTAC